CCAGAGACCTGGGGGGGTGCCCCCCCCCCCCCCCAAACAATTTGCTGTTGTGAATCTTTCAGACAAGCTGATGTTCTGTGGAGGGCCCACATTGACTCCGATAACATCTCCCATGGAAACGAGCCCTCTGGGAAAAAACCAACAACCGCTTTGGAAAACTGTTAGAAAAATTATGGATTTGGTTCTCCAGCTTGTTACTGTTTCCTTTTAGATGATTTTCATGTGATTCCTGGCACAGATGTGGCAGTAACGCACGCTGTCAGCTGCCACAACTTGGAAAGTCTCAATATGAAACAATATCAGACTTCAAATATTCCGCTGCTAAAACTTGAAGAGCCCTTGCTAGTAGGGCTCTTAAACATCTTGTTTTGCAGATCAAAGTATCTCCTGTTTGTGTTGCAAGGAAACCGTTTGACACTTCATTACAACCCAAACAAGGAGGCTTTGATCTGCAAGATAGCATCAGATGTTTCAAGATGTAACAAGCCAGGTTAGTGCTTAAATTTAAAATAGAGGGGTAGAAGGGTCCCCTTCACCTATTTGAGCATTTTACCTCTTGACAACAGCTTTGAGTTTCTTTGATTTTCTTTGATTTAATCCCAGATTGGAACAAAAAGGAGTGTTGAAAAGGTCCCACGACATAGAAATTTGGGACTTCACTCGCATTTTGTCCCCACGTCTCTTCTCCTGGGACCAGTCGGCTGGCCGGGGAGAGAAAACCGGGCAGCCCGCGGCTGCAGCAAGATGCTCGGGGCTGGGAGGTGGGAGGACACTTCCCAGGGCTGTGGGCTGCTTGCTGCCACGGTGCCCAAGCCAAGGAGGCGGCTGCTGCCCAAACCCTGTCTGTAGAGTCACCGGGGCACTGCAGATGCCACTTGTGTCGTACGGCCACGGTGCCAGCGTGAGCACATTCCTGGGGACATAAACCTCTCGGGAAGGTCAAGGGGAGTTGAGCTTTCAAGTGTCTGTCTCTCCTGAAAGCACGGCTGAGCCTTTTCTGTCTGGATCTATGCCTTCATCCCCAGCGGCAGCAGCACGCTCCCCTATCTCCACAGCCACTGCCAGTCTCCAACGCGCCATGCACTTTCCAGACCACTGGGAAGACTTAGTCCTTCCTCCAAAACCGTCCTGGAGTTTCAAATACGTGGTCAGCAGAAGCCCACTGAAGAAGTCTGTTATCCACCCGAATTAATCCGCAGGGAACTGGGAATCGTGCGGCCCCTCGCCGAGACACGGAGGCCAAACCCCGCGGCGGCACGAGGCCGAGGATGGGAGTGATGTGCTCTGAATGTGGGAGTTGGTGCTGATTAACCCTGCAGAGATGCTGGGAAGCCCAGCAGTGGCCATGGTGCTGGGGAAACAGCACCCGGAGGGGAGACACCAGGAGAGATGGGATGGAAGCAGGAGGTAGCCAAGGGCAAAGGGGACACATCCCTGCGAGGCAGGAGCTTGGAAATCAAGGTGTCACCAATGGGTAACAAGCAAGATGAGCTCAATGTTGCCAAATGACTTCAAATATATGGAGGAATGGCCTCCAACTCCTGGAGAGCACATGGTAAAAAGTAGAGAAAAACTGATGTATCAGGGATCAGTGCAAGTGATTTTGCTAAATAAGTGATGCCTCACCTATAAACCAGTGTACAACAACAAAATAAATAAAATGCAATACCAAATAGATGCCCAGGAAGGATCTGTTGTAGCCCAGGGGAAGGCGGTGGATAGAAGTACAAGATCCCAAGAACCACCTTTGGTTTCACCATGCAAGTTTTCCATGACTCATCAGCCCTGACTCCAAAACATTTGGGTCGATGTCCCTCCTGGACCGGTAGGACAAAGCTACAGAGCTATGGAGCTCACCCGCTCTGAAACGGCCTGTTCAGGACTTCTCTGTCCCTGTGTCCAGTGCAGGGAAGCCAAGGACCAGGAGAACCTGGGGGACATGCAGGGGCTGGTTCAGTGTCTTTTGAAGGCTGATGGCGTGCCACCACCCATAGAAGCCCATAAATTATGAGACAGGCCACCAAAACTGATGGGAAGGCAAGGAAAAATTGCAAGGTTTGAGGGATGGGAGAAAGAAACATTTGGAGTTGCTTTTATTTGCCTTTTGATTATTACACCAAAAATATTGAGGACACCAAGAAACAAGGACACCACTGCGCAGGCTCTCCCCGACCACCCCTCACCCCTGCCAGCTAAGCCGGGCAAGCTCCCCGAAGGCTGGATTCCCTCTGCGTGACCTGCAAAGCCTCACCATAATGGGAGCCACATGGCCCAGCTCCATTGAGCTCATTTCTCCCTTAAATTAGATCCAGATGAGGCAGCTCCAGCCACCGACTCCCCGGCTTCCCATGCTTGGATGGGGAAATGCAAACGGAAGCTCATGGCCCCAGCGTGACACACCAGCCCCCATCCATCCATCCATCCATCCATCCATCCACCCATCCATCCATCTCTCACAGGGTG